CAGACCATTTTCATTTATATAGTGCTCTGTGAACACAAATTAGTTAGAATAAATCAGTTAAATGACGAAAAATTAGATGTCTATATACTTGTAACCACTCAGTGTACATTATCAAAAGTAAAAGTAAAAACGCAGTATCTTTTATAACATTTAAATTACATGCTTATGTAGACAGGGTAATAAAAGTATAAAAACCAACAAGTTCGATATTATGAACATATGAGCAGATTGCGATTCAACCAAACTATAAATGGTGTAATATTTAAATTAATAATTAGTTACTATTCGTTTTAACATCTTTCACTCATTTGTATTTTTCCATCATCACGAGGGAATTTTTATGTATGTACAAGGTGTCGTTTTGGTGTTCTTGGGATGGATATATAATATTAAAAAATTCAATGTCCTATCTTCTACAAAGTTTGTTCCTTTCCAGACACCAAACATGAAGGACTTGGCTAGAACAAGTTTTAAAGTGGAGGTGCTGAAAATCATTGAACAAAAGTGTTATAGTTGTATTAACAACCTGATACCAGAATCAGAACGTGTTTTTACATTAAACTTCAAGTAAAAAATTAAATAAAAATCTTCAGTTACAGTCCTTGCTACAATGTTCACATTAGGCTTACCTTAAGATGTTGAAAGAAAGCAAATCGAAAAGTACCTGACACTAAGTCCTTTTTAACTTCAATACCAGAAACAAACGTCTTCCCTAAGTGGTTGGTGTCATATTTTCTCAGAGTAAATACCATGCAACAACATTAATAAAACTAGCAAAACGTACAGAATGTATGTTTAATAAAGAGAAAAATTCCAACTCATATAGCTTCGAGTGAATTGTCGACAAACATGTAATGTAATACATAAACTATACAAATCTAACAACACCAGTAGGGATGCAGCCCCCTTGCATTTACTTCAGCTATATAAATGTTTCGATATTATGAAAAAGAGATTGTCTTCAAACTCAAATTCGAATATGAACAAACGTCTTTAGAAATCCTAGCAGAAAATAGGAAAAATAAATAAATTTTTAATTCTTCAAAACTGTACAAAGAATTATTTAGATTAACAAGGTATTGTTACGACAGCGGTAGTCACGTGACGCTGGTAACACGTCATGATATTCTAGAAGGATCGGGGAACATCACGAATAATCCAGTATGTGCTAGGCGCCCTCTATTCCTGTATATAAGTGCATCGGATAACGTGAGACAAATCAATCGGAATAGAATTGCAGACAGGCAGAGATAGGGACTGACAATTGAGTCAAGCACGATAGGACGTAAAGTGCGTGAATCGTTTGATGTGAATTATAGCGTGTGTTTATGTTAAAATTACTGTGGAAATTAAGTGTATTGCAAAGTTGTATTGAGAAAGAATAAACTAGTTTTATTTAAGAAAGAACTTGTATCGCTGATGTTTCTCGGGAAGAATTTCTACGGGAAATTAACAAACGAACAGAGACGTAACAGTATTTATACAAACAGCCCTCGTCCAAATAGTCAGATTTGAACTTTCAGTGTCCTATAAATTGAGCATAGTTTGCATGTTTTGAGTCTCACGTAATCCCAAACCTTTTTCTTTTATAAGTATCTTAACCTGGAGTGTAAGAGGATAGACATTAGAAAGATGTTAAAGGCTATAAGCATCTGTTGAGAATGCTTGGCAATTAGATTCTTAACCTTGAATGGGGGACGTAATTAGGTCGCAATCTCTGAATTTTCGTGATACATTTTCACGTCAAGAGTCCAAATAGCATAAAAACTGAACCTGATTTTGCTTGATATATCTTTCAAACTGAATGTCAAACTTGGTACGTTTTGACGAGGATCGACTGCTATTTACGGTGTATATTTGACCAGAAACACAAACAAAAACCAGAAGCAGTAGCACAGAAAGTACTAAGATGACCTAAACAAAATGTTTTAGTAAGGGGAACGGTGACTAAATTTCATTAACACCTGAATCAATCTTTTTCAAGGTCTCAAATAACAACAGCTTTTGCGTTCGATGAAGAAGCTTTCTTCTTTCCACTTCTAGGATCCTCTTCTGATATTTCCTTCTTGTTCTACATCACTTTCTTCGCTTTAAAATAAGATATAGCACATATAAAAGCAATCGAATTTGGAAAGAAAATGGAAAATATTAGTCAAAGGAACGAAAAATAATCTTGAATAACACGCTGAAAAAAAAGGTAACTGACATCTCGTTTTCAAAGAATGGAAGTCATAATCCACAGCTATTGTTCTAGCATACCTTTAGTAAATTCGAAATTTTCCGGATGTTACATACTCTAGACTTATCATAAATTTATTGTTAAGTCACAAATTTAGGAATAAAATAAAATATTAATAAATAATAAAATTTAATAGTTGGAACTTGGAAACTGTGTTTTGGTCATTATTAGCCTAAGAGTTCGGATTTTTTTTAAATTGTATTTTACATCCCCTGTTTTAGTTCAATCTCTAGTTTCTTTGAGTCTCATCCTAGCAAATAATGTTTTTTCTCCGCATGTTTGTAGAGACATCTCATGGAAAAAAGTCGATAAAGCCACTAAGGATAAGTTAGAATGGCGACAGAGAGGGGATGGAGAGTTTTGGATGTCATACGATGATTTTTTGAAGGAATTTGAAGAAGTCTCCATTTGCACATTAGGACCAGATTTCGACGGAGATGGAATTGCAGACAAGCCTGGTCAAGTAACTGATGTTCTTCACGGTTGTAGCTCATAGTTTTTATTATAATTGTAACATAGAATATTGTTGTGAATTGTTATTATCATATCTATTTTTCTTTACTTTTTACTGATCTTTGACTTTTGCCTCACTTTAGAAACTACAGCCCATACTCTTAAGAATATGTTTTTTTTGTTTTTTTTCTCACAGGTAAAGGCTATCTTGGGCGAGTGGGAAGAAGGGAAGACAGCAGGAGGATCCCGTAATAACCTGTCTCAGTTTGTTTTGAATCCCCAATATCTGCTATGTATTGAAAAATCTAATAACAGTAGGTGAATTTCAGTGAAAAATATTTGTTGGAAAAAAAATTCTAGTTGTAAACAAATAATTTTGAAATGTTTCACTTAACTCAGTTGTATTGGAGCTAAGGTACTTTTCTGCAAAAGTGCAATGTTTTTGCTTTTTCTTTAGTTTGTTAGACAGATTTGTAGAATTAACTTAACAATATAAATTCAACAATTTAGCAACAAAAAAAGCCTAAGCTAGCAAAGAATTGAGGCTTTATGCCTTACAAAATGGTGAAATTAAATTTCACCACAGTTTTTTTTTTTTGCTTTAATTCTTTAGGCGCGTACTTTTCTTAAGTCATATCATTCTCAAAATCATCATAAAATGATTCGAGTTCAGAGCCAGAATCATCGTCAGCTTGCACAAATTCAATTGCTATTTTGGGCCTGTTTTCTCATAAAAATTAAACAGTTTGCAACTACAAATATTACCGATGTTTTGAATAGCAACATACGCCATGATGGATACGAATCGGCGGCTGAAATCGTCATCAGTGCAGATTATGCTTTGTTTATCGATTTTGTGCGCTCGTTTCGCATTTCTAGCAGGGAAATCAAACCGCGTTATGTGGTCGCAATTCGGGAAATTGCGGATTATCTAGTTATATTAACTGAAATCATAATAGATACCTCTAATCAAAACAAATGCACAAATGAAGCAAATGGAATTACCGACAGATTTTATTCGCTGGTTATCCAACTTCTTAGATAATAGAAAATGTGGAGGGCATCTACTTAGAGTATATGGCTCCAAAGGCCGGTGTTCCCCAGGGAGAGATAGTTAGCCCTATCCTTTTCATCATGTATGTAAGCGATATGCCGTTAATAAACCCACATTTTTGCCTAACATCTCGATTCGCAGATGATGCATCAATTTCGAAGAGTTCTACAACTTCTTTAATAGTAGCAACAAATTTACAACCGGTTCTAAATGAAATAGTACAATGTTGTCAAGAGAACAAAATTAAAATAAATGTTCCAAAAAACAAATATGTTAGAATTTTCAAAAAAAAAAGGGAAAATATGCAGACACAAACCAGAATTATACCAAAATGGAACTCTTTTTAAATACCGCTACACCAGCAATATTTTTTAGTCTAACTTATGATTTGAAATTGATATGGAAAAATCATATAAACCAAATTAAAAATAAAGTATGGCAACGAGCAAGCTACTCTAGGATGTCATTGTCTAGAAGTAATAGTGTAATTCCACAAAATATCATCAAATTTATAAGTCGTATATATGTCCAGTAATAGAATATGCAATTCCCGCATGGATAAATGCAACACCAACAAATTTAACTAAATTACAAACAATACAAAATTCAGTAATAATCAAAGCTTTGAGAGTTCCCAGAACACCAAATTCTGATTTCATGCATAAATATGCAAATATACAACCAATCCGTGACAGGCTCCTATAGATTGTTCGTTTAAGTATTTGATAAAAATATATATAAGAATGATTTACTAACTTCTATAGATCGTTATATCATATGATGATGATTGTACTAAGTATCTTTCACCACTCAATATGTACATTCAGAAAGTCCACCTGTACTAGACAATAATATATCGCTACGATTATATTATCATAAGTGTATTTAAAAGGGTTTATTATATGTCAAATGCGCGCTGGATAATATAATCAAGTGACAAAGTAACTATTTTGTCCATGGAACTGTTTCCTAGTTTTTTTTAAACGACCAAATGAAATGACAAAATTACAAAAAGCTTGAATTGGCTCTTGCTGGATGGGGTAAAGACGTCTATAAAATAAAAACTAAAAACTAAGTCTGACATATATTTATTTAGTAATTTTTTTGCTTATTTGTGACTTTAATCATTTACTCATTTTTGTTTATTTCATGACTACATCCATTTATTAGAGGTATAAATTTAGTAGAACCTTTAATTGTTTGATCATACTTTGAAGTAAGTTAAATAAATAAATGAAGGTACATGTAACAACACATCCACCATAATGAGTACGAACTTATTTCTTAGTGTGTACTATAATTTTGGTTCAATCATTCAATCAATCTTATCTATTATATTCAGGCACGATATGGCCAGGTGGTTAGGGCTCTCGCAATCTGAGGGGCGCGGGTTCGATTCCCGGTCACACCTAACATGCTCGCCCTTTCAGTCGTGGGGGCGTTATGGCTCTCTCATGTGTTTCATTAAATGATTAAATCAGATTTTATGTGAAATAGAAATAATGTCTAAAGAATTTATAGATATTTCAAAAACAGGATTAAATATAATTTGAGCCATGCATTATTCAGGTTGGAATACTAAGTTTTTACAAAAGCAGTCTTAGCAGTTTTTTCATTGTTGTTAATTTGTAAATAATTATAAAATATTCTTATTTATATAATGAAATTAAAATTACTCTGCCCTTATAGAATTCACTATACAAAATAGGTTAAAGAGATCAAAAGCGTGTACAAAAGTATATTTAAAGGGAAAAGGCTAAAGCGGTCATACTGTATCAGTATCAGGGTGCTGTGAATCCAACCTGTTGCATAAGTTTTGGATATTGAATGAAAGGTTTTTTGAGCAGTGATTTGTGTCAGAAAAAAAGTAATGTTGAAATGCTATTTTTACACCCCGGATTAAAGATCTTGGAAGAACTAATTAAGAAGAATATAGAGAAAAAGATTTACAATCAAGCTTGAAGAAATTAAACTTATCTCTGATTTTGCTTGAACTATATAACAGTTATTGTCCCACAACGGGTCAGTGGTATGTTTTTGAATTTACAACGCTGAAATCCGGGGTTCGATTGCCCGCAGTGGACAGAGAGCAAATAGTTCGTATGTGTGGCTTTGCAATAGAACAAACAAACTGGCATTTGTTGTTCATTAGACTGATTGTGAGGTTGCTAAAACGTTAAATGAGATTAAATTTAAACTTAATATAAGTTTGTGTACTAATAACAAATTCGCACTTTGACGAGACAAGCAAAAAATAAAAATCATACCAATTATATAGATAAATGATATATTTTTTGTTGCGAATAATTAGGTAATAGTACTCAAATAGTGTTGTAGATATTTCGTTTTGTCGCCAAGAACGTTTGTGCAAAGCCAAGGTGCTTACAACCGATAACTAAATAAGGGGGAGGACCAGGTATTTTAACCACAACGTCCTGAATCCAACTACTAAGATACTGTCCGCGGCCATTTGTGGGTAAGGTGGTTACCCCTGAATTATACAAATGAAAGAATAAAACTCCTACCAATCTCCACCCATTTTAAGTTGTTAAGAGCTATATTAAACACCAACATAGCTTTTTTAAATACCCAACCTCCATTTTTTAAATATAAGTTCGTACATAAAAAACGTTACTGCAGAAATCTGATGGGCATTGTATGTGAAGACTTTGTGTAAATATATATATTGGTGAGTAATATATCTCTTAACAACTTAAAATGGGTGGATATTGATAGGCTCTTTTATTATTTTATCTGTATTATTTATTTGTAATTACCATAGCCACAATTGGGCGCGGATGTTAAGAGTGTAGCTCGTTTCGGGGTTTTGTCTTACTTCTTAATTGATTATAAGTTATGAGTACTTTGGTTTTGCAGCTGCATTCTTGGGGGTAAGTAACTAAAGAGACGAAGTATTCTCAAAGCAACTTCGGTTATTCACAGGTTATTGTCACACAGTTATTCACAAGAAAAGCACACTCTTTATTTAAATATTTGGTATACGTTTCGTTTTTTCAAAGCGCGAATTTGTAATTAGTATATTCTCTTCACTGTTTTGTGGTGCTGGTTTACACTGCTAAAATAAGGCTGTTGCAGTACAGTTTTTATATACTTATTTATAAATATTGTATATCTATTCATTCTAAATCGAAAGTTTTGTTTTTTTCTTCTAGGCCAATCCGTTTTCTTCGGATCGAACAAAAAATGTAGTGTTGTGATCAGTTTGATGCAAAAAAATCGTCGACCTAAAATTTTTAGTGGGTCAAAAATGTTACAAATTGGTTTCGTTGTTTACCAGGTAAGGAACATAAATCTACAAGTGTATGTAAAATTATCTGAGATCCAAATTCAGCAAAAAGTATGGTGTTTAAAATGGAAAGATTTATCCCTAGCCTTTTTTACATTGTAAAGTTTAGAGAACGGGTATAAATATCAAAAATCACTATTTCAACTAAAAGCTTCTTTTTATTTTCTTAACTGTTCAGTAAGTAGGTTCTTGTGAAAAGTAATACTATGAAGTATAACTAATTTTCTTTTTTTAAATCACCGCTAAGTACTTTAATTTTAACGACATAGATATTGCCAATTATTAAAGATATTTCAAATGGAGAATATAAATACATTATCGACTGAAATGATGAAACATTGAAAATCTACTTATACTCTACTGTAGAGGGGGTAGCCAGCATTACGAAGTGGAGAGGGGTTCCACAAAAATGTGGACCTATTTTTCTACTCAAAGATTTTAAGTGATTTACATGAAAGTCAAGGACTCATTTTAAAAATCTAAAAGATAGTGGACGTTTTAGAAAATTATGGTGGTCATCCGAATCCCCCACCCTCCTGGCTACGCCCCTGCTACTGTTTTAATTTATTTTTTTATGTTATATTCTATCGCATATAAATATATAGAGTTTTAACTAGACCAATGATCCGTCGAAGAGGCTTCCTGTAGAACACTTCATGATGAACTACGACATTGGAACTTCAGGCCCTTATATTAACTATAGGGAAGTTTTCAAGCGTTTTGAGCTGCATCAAGGATACTACGTCATCATTCCGGCTACATTTGAACCCAACTGTGCTAGTAATTTTCTGATTCGTGTCTATGCTGAAGGACCATTCCAGTTAAGGTAAGTACTAAAACGTTCAGATTGATGTGTATATACAAAGGTTGAGCACGTTATATAAAAACGATTTGAAGCCTCCCCACGTCATTGTACTCCGTGACGCAACATCCAGTCATGCTGTATTTGACGACTGTGCATCTTGATAATAGGCCTGCAGGACAGCTTCCACTGAAAAAACTCGCATCTCAAAGCCTTCATGCCCAAAGCATACCATTCTTCCCTATATTATTTTCATAACCCAACTACTATATGAGAATGATGGTTTCCAGGACACGTTTCAACAGTCTGATTGCACAGAAATCTATAGGTCCTGTGTTTGGCGAAAATAGAATAGCATGAATACTCGTTCCATTCTGTAATTACTTGAGATATGTGGCAGGTGAATGGGAGGTATGACTAGACCAACCAGTACCCTATTAGCCTCGTTTTCAGACAGAGATCTATATTTTTTATGTGCTAACTGTTGCCTAAGGCACGTGAACGACTTTTACCACTAACGTTTATTAGTGGATTCTCGCCTTTTACAAAACTGCAATTTGCTGACCACAGCTGGAGTACAATATATTGCAGGTCTCTTTCTCTATAATCATAATATCTCAAGTTGATCCATATTCTTTAGTTTTTTAATGCCATTTAAGTACATGGAATATCTCCATCTTGGACATTTTAAATCCATGATATAAACACATCTTTGTGATCTGAATGTTTTACACCAGAAACGACTGTTACATACCTATTCCATAAGCAATCAGTTTTCGGGGACATCACACTATCTGAAAAACAATGCCAAAATGTTTTTCTGATACATTCTGCTCCACCGTGGCTTTATATCTGTTGTGGTTGTCATTTGACCTGCTGATTTGTGTGTTAAAAATCGTTCTAATATAGCGTATTCAACTCTCTTTGTGTGTGTATATATATATATATATATATACATACATGAATGTGTGTGTATTATCTTATTAAGTAGGTTCCTTAAAATAAACAACTGCACATCTGTAAAAATTATCTAGATATTAATAAGTAGATGAACACATGAAGCATGATCCTGGGGTATTTGACGCTACTTCCTTCAGACAAAATATTGTAATTTCAGCCAAAAATTAATCATTCTCAGGCATTTGAAATAGTGACTTTAACAAATATCTCGCCTTATTTTTAAGTGAATGAATTTAAAATTAAATAACACAGATGCACAGTGCTGCCAAACATTGCTGTATTGTCAACTGTTAAAGCTATAAAATTATCACTCATAACATTTACAAAACAACCTCTACTTACATCACTATTTTGCTAATACTTGAAAAGTGTAAATAACAAAAAATCTACTAATATACAAAGTATGTTCAATCCATGGCTATACAATATGTTGTTTTTTTTTCATGGTGGCATCTACCTCACTCCAAATCCCAAACTGCACCTTGGTACATGTACAGTTAGTACAGAGATGAGAAATCATGAAAATATACTATTTATAGGTGATAGATTGAGGACTTGAATTCTGTGCTTGAGATCACACAGTTTAAGGATTGGGATAATGTACATAGGTGAGAGAGTAAGGATTTGTTTTCCTTGTTTAGAGCCATGCAGTTTAAAGACTGGGATACTGATTATAGGAGTGGGAATATTTCTTTTGCTTGCTTGAAGCCATGCAGTTTACGGACTGGGATACAGTTTATAATTGAAGTCACGTAATTTAAGGATAGGGATACTTGTAATACGTGAGAGAGTTATGGTTTGTTTTGCTTGCTTCCAGCCACACAGTATAAGGTAAAACCATTTAGAAGTGAAAGAATTAGGATTATGTTGACTCCTGTGTCCTTACATTGTAAGGACACAATTTGGCTCTCGTCATATTTCGTTCCAAAAATAAAACTAGTGGATGAAATCGTTTGAAATTTGACAGGAACTTTTCTAAATGTATTTAATTTTAGAGAAATAATGTATTTAATTTTGTTTTTTCTACTATTTTAACTAAAAATTCGTTATTCATTGTAGTTGTTTACATTCAACCCTGAATAGTTCACATGTAAGGTGATTTTCATGTTAAGTATAAAAATACTTTTCAAATTTCATTTGCATAACTTCTAGAGCTTCCTAAACGAACATCAAAAGTTTTTTAAGGTAGATATTTATATATATTATTTTTCATTTTCTGTACAGTAACACTAACTGTATATATTATTCTCAACATACAGTTCAAACTGAAATCAAATGTTTAAAATTAAGAAATGGAAATATGTACATACTTTGTAAATCTTTCTCACATAATATCTTCTTTGGGCCATATCCATAATTTTATATCTTTACCTATTCACTTATAATTTATTTTTAATGTTTTATTGCAGATGCAATATCTGGATATTTAATGTATTTTTTTACTTTTACCTGAATATCCAGAAACATTAGTTATGCAAAAATAAATGTCTGTTAGATGATCTTTGGGGCTCATGTCATATCATTGGAACTGGAAATAGCATACTTGCTCTCTTCTTATTCAGCTATTGTGTGCAAACTATACAACACATATGTGGAGCAATGCTTTTCTTAATCACCAATTTTACAACAAAATAATGGTAGTAAGCTACCTCTACCTTGTGTGGGATGTTTTTCCTTATTGAAACTGTAATATATTTCCACAAATGGTGCAGAAACGTTTGGGGTGATTTTTGCACCTTCTGACATTACTTGAATTGGAGGCAGGCAGTATTTCAAATGATTTGCTAAAAAAATATAAAATAATTTATGTTTATAGAACTAGAGTTTAAAAGATTTTAAAGAACAAAGTTCTGCAGAATTTGAATATATTGTGGGTATGATGGAAGGAAGAAAATCATCACTTTGTTTTGACTGTGCATGGAGCAAGGTGAAGTAACCAACTGAGTGAGTGAGAGGCAACTTAGAGAGAGGTTTCTGACTCTGTCCCTTTTATGCTCAGTCGAGGGACTTCTCGAATATTCTAGCAAACTGAGCACGTGAGGATTTCGTGATTTCCGGGTGGAGCAGGTGAGCGAGGGAATAAAGCAAAAGTTTAACAATTCGCTATAATCATATCGAGAACAAATAGCATATATGAACAATATATGTCTGGTTTCTTTGTAAACCGACAAACGTCGCTACTGTCTCTAGTATGGCTAGTATAGTATTAGAATGAATTCTTTATGCAATATATATTATAAAAACAATCAACAGTATAGAATAAAAAAAGTCAAGAACCAGACATGAAAATTGAAAATTCTAATTCAAAATTCCTTGATTAATCGCGGGGCCTCTACAAATACTGGGCCTGGTATAGCTGCAAGTCTCACACTTGCCTTTTCCCATTACTGGCAAAGCGTCAAGTGCTTCGTCAGTAGTAAGTCCGGAACGATCCCGCCCAAAGGCTGCCGCCTCGCGCTGATTGACTGCCTCAGGGAGGGAGAGGGGGGAAGACATCAAAGATGAGGACGTCATAGTTTCAAATATTGCCAACAGAGGGCGAGTCATTAGAGACGCGTTGCTAGGCCGCCAAGATAGGTGGCCATGATGTCATAATGTTGAAATTCTAGTTCCATATCAGACAGCCCACCGTAATGGATGATTACATGATAATACCACAAAGTAGAGAACGTGTTTCTAGGCATGCAAGACAGGTGGCCAGAACTCATACAATACATTTCTCATCATGTCGATAAATAATCATTAATTAATAAAATCGTTCCTAAAAAGGACGCTTAACTCTAATTAAATTACTATTAAATAGTCGTAAAATAAACTCCTAGTACTAATTCATTAATAATTAATCCGTCCTAAAAAAGGTCGATACAATAATTATAATTTACTGTTTAAATATTTCCAGTACTAATTCATTAATACATTTATAATTAAATCAAGTCCTGAAAAAGGGCGCTTAATACTAAGATATTTATAATTAATTCATCCTAAAGAGGATGATATAATAATTAAAATTTGTTGTTTAAAGATTTTCAGTACTAAATTATTAGTATTACATTTCCTGCACTAAAAGGACGATATCATAATTAAAACTTAGTCTTTTAATTATAAATCAAGTGTTTTTCAATGACATGATATTGTTACGTCTCCGTTTTTT